CAAACAACTTTTATTACAGGCTAAACCCAAAACAGTCTAGGATTATTTTAGCCAAGTTGAAATAGATCAATGAATTGTCCTGCTGCTGCTCCATCATGCCCAGATGACATTCTAAAACTTCCCAGAAACCAGTGCTTTCCTGAGCTGTGCCAGGGACTGAGGAAAGGTTTGTGGAGGAACTTCTACCTTTGTAATTTAGCAAAAGACTTATGTGAACGCAAGCACTCCCACACTCAACTCTTAAAACAATTTAGTGCATTTACCTGCTGCTAAACTGGTTCGTGACAACAGCTCTAAGTACCTGGAATCACTTGTTGCAGAGATTACATCTTCCATATGTCAATTTATACAATGTATCTATATGGTTCGTCACTAATTAAAAATTTTACAGGCATTCATTTGCAAGGGGTTACTAATATGAACGTGCAAGATCCAGTGCAAAGTTCAATTCAGAGTTTTCTTTATTAAAATACCTTTTCACATTCCTTATACTAATGCATTTGTATGGACGCTCATGGGGATGCTAGAATGAACCTTTGTCAACAGAAGAGTGCTATGAAGTCAGTCATTTGTGAAAGGCTTTTGATACAAACAACATTTGCATAGGGAACAATAAATTAGAGATATTAGCCAGTAACTGGAGCGTGAAAATTTAAATGTTTGGAATGAGGATATAAACACTTCTGTATTTCTTGCTGGTTTTGCGCCTTTGATGCAATGCTTAAAGCAGTAACTATATATGTATATACAAATCCATGTCCTCTCTTTCACTATTTTCTAATTAAAATGAGAACCTTCTTACCTGTAGCCCTCATCTTGTAGTAATTTAATCTGCAGTCAAAGACCAGCTGGTTAAGAGGTTGGGACAGTCCTTTTTCTGTTTTGTTTTGTGTTCTTTTTTTTAAACTAATGCAACTGAGATAAACATGGGCTGCGAAGATTAGATCCCTGTCCAAACTGGATCCATGTTAGTGGTTTATCATACTGTAGAAAAAAAGGATAGGTATGGAGTTCCATACTGGACAAACTGGACACAAGTATGACTTCAGATGGTACTAAAATCAAAGGAAAAAGGATTATACATAACAGGATTTTCAGGTACAAACTCACTGACCTGGGTGTAATATATCCACCCACTCAAGATCTATATTTTGCATCCGACATAACTGTGATGGGCAATCATTCCCTGAAGAACCATCACACCAAACTAACCAACAAGCATCAGAACTTTTAAAAGGGAAAAGCAATTTAGCGAAGAATAAAGAATATTTGTGCCTCTACTGACAGAAGCACTCGGTGAAGTAGTGAATCTCTAAACAGTTATTTATTCAAGTTTTCCGAGAGCCCAGAGCTCGCTCTTCCATTAGGCCCTCACTGCAGTGTAGCATCCTGGTGAGCTATAAATTAGCTGGCTCCAAGACCCGTAGCAGTCCAGCTGCTGCAGCACAGGGAGTTCAGCACAAGCTGAAAGATCATGTCAAAGTACATACCCGGCTGGCCAAGCTGTGCTGAGCTCTGTTCTGCCACAACAGAGTGTACTGATAACCAAGTTAGCTAGTTTAAAGCAAGCTTAGATATTTCTACATCCTACTAGCATCACAGTAGTTACTGCACTGTAGAAATGTACTTCCTCAGCTGTAGCTTCCCCTTTTATTTCCTCAGAGCATGATGAACTGGAGGCTAGAAAGGCAAAATTGCGTTAGCAGGAGAAATGAAAGATGGGAACCTAGGTCAGTGGTTTCTACAGCCACTTTCCTATGAGAATTTTTATTTGTAATTTTTTCCATTCAATGCTTTAGGAACATCTCTATTGTTCCCCCTGAGGAAATAAACTTTGGAAAGAAGAGCCTGGCAAACTCATAAATAAGTGCTGCAGAGCTTTTGAAACATTTGCAACATCTTCCATCTTGGCTTGTTTTCTTCTCCCAGCTGATGTTTGAGATGAGTGTTCTAAGTAGCATCAGGATGCCCTTGTATTCTCTGTTGGCAACAAGACCAAAAAAGAAAAAAAAAAGTATGAATATAAATGTCCCCCTGCCCTCTCCTGTCCTTTTTGATCAATACAAAAACTTTAAACATAGTAACATATTCCTCAGAGCACTGTACAATGAGCTAATAAATACTCACAGTTCCCTGGAGAGATACTAGTATTATCTCATCAGATAAAAAAGGAAATAAGACAGTGGGAGATTTAGGTTAACAATTACAGGCTAGACTGCAATACTGTTAATCACCAACATCTGCAACTGGGCACTTGCTGATAAAAGTTGGATTCTTATGGGAACTGGCACCCAACAAACCTGAAAGTCAGATCCCTTCTTTACTAATAGATGCCCAGTTGCCACAATTAGGCCCCCATCTTCAGTCCCACAAGAATTAAACCCTAAGAAGCACTTGGGTATCTCAACAGTGAGCAATGCAGCATTCAAGGTTTCTAAGGGAGTGTGCTGCTTTGAAGAGGTTAGAAACCTGGCACTGAGAACCACAAAAGGCAGCGTGCAGGTAAGAGGAGTCCTCCGTGCAAGCCAATGGGGCAGGGCAAAGAGAGATCCCAAACTTCATTATCTGTACATTAAATGACAGAAATAATTCTGTCCACTGAGGATTCACAACCGTCAAGTCTTTCCTGACATCAGTTGCCAAAGCAAGTCTTCCTCCAACAAATACCTGCTAACAGTACACAGTGGCCTCTAACCTAATAGTTTAGTCTGTCAGCACTGAGGCGCCTAATTCCTTTTGTGGACTTACCCCCAAAGGATTTGCCCCATGAGTCAGAGGCAGGAATTCCTGGTTTATAATTCAATGTTTATTTCAGAGTATCACCTTGTCTTTCATATCCTGGCTGCCTGAAATCCCCCCCCCAATTTTAAATGGACACATCCTTCATCTTCATTTCCTGTCTGAAACTATTGTGCCATGTTACTGTGCACAGTGAAACACATGCCAGGTCCCCCTTCAGAGCTGGCTTGTGCTGGCAATGTGAAGCAATGCCTTCACCACCGAGAATTTACAAAATACTTTTGGGATCACTCAAGTAAGATGAGAAAGTAGCTGAAAAGCCCCCAGAAATTTCTCCAAATAGATTTAAATGGTACAGGTTTCTGTCTCAGAGGGTACATTCTGAGGCTGAACAAATAGGCAGCTAAAAGTACACTATGTCCTGACTCAGGCTGCCAGTCCTCATGTACCCCTACGACAGAATCAAACAAACAAACACACACATCTAAAAGGTAATAGGGGAGGAGGAGATATGAAGTCAGAATGTACCGCTGAGGTAAATTTGACACAATACCAATTAGTATTTGGCGAAGTGGCTATCTCATTGTTAAGATATTTCCTTCAATATGTTTTCAGAAACTGGGACCATTAAATAACTTAGAAAGATTGCCAGCTCTGATTTCAGGAAGGAAACCTCCTCCCAGTTCCTCTCCAAGCAATTCATTTCTTTTGCAAATACTTCCTATGGATGGCATTTAAGATACAAATTTCTGAAACAGAGGAGATAGAGGGAATCAACCCCCAACCCAAAACTTTGAGTTCATTTCTAAATGACCTAAAAGTCACAGACATTCAGGTTCAAGGTACTCTGGACTGCAAATCAGTCAGAACCTGTACTCCAATTGGCCTTTATACAGTTCAAATAGTTCAAACTTTCACTCATTGTTTTTCTAACACAACACCTTTCTTGACAGAATACAAACACTCTGAATGCCTCTGTGGAACACAACACTTATTGGCAGTACACAGGGTTTACTAAAGCCTTGAGCTCAATTTTTAATGGTCTCTCAGTGAAGATGAAGCAAAGTTCCTACATTTCCAAGCTGGATTATATTTATTCTGACAGAAGCCATGTAGGGATAAATGCACAAGAAAAGGGCTAGCACTCAGTAAAGCAATTTGCTCCATCTTTTCCCACAGTGCGGTGCCCTGTTTTGCCTGTGACTTCTGGAAGATCACTGCAGAACTGAGTAAGTTAACGGAGTTTATCTGAGGAGTGGAACCCACACTGTTACTTGAATTTAGAGAGTGAAGAGGACAGCAGGATTTGATGTCCAGTCTCTACCATCATTACTGAAATAAAAAGGTGGCACATCCTCCTGTCTCTGAAAACATAGCTCTTCATAAACCACTGCTCTCTGCTGCGGTGCCCTTTGTCCCACACTTCTGGAATACCCATTACTTCCTAAACAGAGTCAAATTCTACAAGTTTTTTGTTCTCTGAAAACATAGCTCTTCATAAACCACTGAGTCAAATTCTACAAGTTTTTTGACAGGTCGCTATTGCTAAGTCATTTCTCTGGCATTTCATGGGATTAAGATGCCAGCTGACCAGCATAGCTCCTGAAGGCCTCCTTTCACTCACAAATGAGTAGCACATGGAAAGCAGCTTCACCTCTGAGCCGAATAATTCCTTTGGCTATAAAGAAGCAGAACAGCTGGGGAGGAAGTTTGAGCCACTTGATCACTTTATAAGGAGCATTTTCCTTTTCATAAGTAGAATCAACAACTCCTCATTTGGACCAAACCTCTGAGGTACATCACAGTTAAGCACTGTGTGAAAATGAGCTACAAAAAAAACCCAAAACAATTGCAAGAAAATAAGGATAGAAAACACCTTTGTAGCCCCCTGTGTTTTCTGTACTCATCTACGTTGCCTAAAAAGAGCTGAGAGGCAAACAGCAAGGGATGGAAAATCTGCCCAGTCCACTTTAGATCATTTATCTGGAGAGTTCAAAAGAGGGATGGTGCTGCTTTTTGTCACGGGCTTTACTGGGAATAGAAGTAGAAATTTACAAATCAGAAGATGGGGATCTGTTTTTTTGCTAAGTCCTCTAAAGCACTAATAATAATTAAAAAAAAAAGGAATAGTTACTATGTTAAGTACATGAACAGTATCTAAGGAGGGGACAATGTCACAGATGTGAACTGAGTAAAGCTACTTCTAGGAAAACTCAAGTAAGATGTGCAAGTGCCATAAACCTGACTTTTCTTAGGAGTGTTTCTGAAAATGGGAGTAGTTTTACAGAGTACCTAGTTTTATTACTCCCCTACTCTTAACAGGAGTTTGTACAGACAACAAAAAGAAAACATTGCTCTCAGCTGACACTTTTCTCCCTTGAATCTAACATTGCTTCATAGACTGTCCGGTTTAACAAGCTTTAATAGCCCAATTAATTATGATTAAAGTGATTTACATGCGGTAGTCAGTGTATTTTCACTGAAGCAGCCTCATTATACTTCCATGGAGAGATTTTTTTTACTCAATTTTGGCCACAGGAAAAAAAAAACAACAAAAAAAAAATCTTCATAGAACTTTAGTATTTCATCCAGTGTCCATTAGAAATTATGTAGGGTGTGAGGGGAAAAAAAAAAAGACAAAAACTCCTCCCTGAGCTTACACCAGATGTCTATCCCAGCCACTCTTGACCATTTTTCCTTTTGTGTCAGACAGGGACAAACTTTATTCTACGTTACTCTCCAAAGAATGGCTGGTAAAACCGAGGAGGGTTCAGCTCAATTTATTTTTAGAAAATTGAGAGCAAAGAATAAAAACAAACCTTTAAACTAAGAGAGACAATGATACTATAAACCCTATTGGCCTGTTAATATATGTCTGTTTATTGTAACACAATCTGTGACCTTCAGTGCACTGCCAGTGTCTGTAAATAATACAATGGGCTGCTTTTTTATCCCATGGGGATGTGAGCGCTGATGGAGCCTTTCAAAACTCAAATGGATGCCATAAGCTGACGTAGACTGTGCTATTGTGATTCTTATTTATGAGTTTCTCTCTCTCTCTCTTTCTTCTTTTTAAGTACAAGTTCCAAAGTCACAAAATGGATAGCAGAAAAAACACCATGTGCCTGGTTTGAGGTTGGATTAGATAGCTCATCTAGCATTCATAAAAGTACTTCTGAAATGTATGTTCCCTGTCTCCTAGATATCTCTTGAGAGCAGAGCAACAGCTCATTCAAGGTATTTATTCTTTTTTTAAAAAAAAAAACAAAAACAAAACCAACGTATTTTTTCACTGGCTTCTTAGCCCTAAAAAGCAGTTTACCACCTACAGAACCTTCACAAAATTCCTCATTGTTTAGCTGAGATCCTCTGTATATGGATGGTACTATTCTCATCTCCTGGTCAGAGCAGTGTAACTGTGACATATCTAGGTACTCGAAGGTTAAAAACTTGCTTGCCTTTAAAATTTCTTAAAAGGTCTCAGTTTTTACCACCAGTACTTAGAGTCATCCCACTTGCTATACCAGTGGATGAAAATGAACCCAGAAGGAAACAGTCACAGACAGAAGTGACTTCTGCCAGAGTTCAGGTGATCAGCCATTCCTCCTTAGTTTAACTCTTCATTTCATATCTTACGAAGGATTTCACTTCTCTGGATATTCCAACCACAGAATGTATGTGTGTGCATGTGAGGAGGCACGCCCCGAGGAGATTCTCTGGCACTAAACACCCTATAGATTTTACAGATGGAACTGGAACAGCAGCTCTGTCCCCAGTGACACATTAACCAGCTTAGCAGGTTTCCATATGCAAATCTTGAGAGCCTCAGGTCCATCAGGAGCCTGGAGCAAGTAGCAACCGTCCCCAACCTTGTGCCATTCTATCAGCTTGAATATTTGTGGCACACATCCAAAGCTGTGCAGGTGTTCAACACAAATTCTTGGAAGATCAGTATTTGTCATCTACCTCCCGAAGCTGCACTACCAAATACCAGTCAGTTCCATGGACTTTTAAAGCTGACCATTCTATAAACGTAGTACTGAAAGCCTGACCAGTAAGGATATATATGAAAGGACTGCCCAGTAGCTTTCAGTAAATGCCCTGAACAACAAATAAACAATCAAAACATAACAACACTTGAACACTATCTCACTACATACACAATAACCTCAATTCACTTTCCCTATATTTAACTACTTACATAAAATGTATACTTACAGAATGCCTGTTTTCGACAGAATCTGCAAAATAAAATACAATGCATAAATTATGAAATGGCACATTGCAGAGCGATCAATTCTGTGTTCCAGAAAATAGACTTCTAGGTTTACTCTAACTGTTTTTGTTCACCTTGCAATGATGTAAAATTGCTACCTACCAACTAAAGTTCAAGCTCTGGTCCTGAGAAGTACACAAGCACTAGCTTAACTCAAGGATCATGGGTGGGACCAGACATTTCAAAGACCATGTTGAGCAGTACACGTTTGACAGCTTTCCTGATTCTGGTTTACAGCAGAAGTCTCTACTGAGAGTACAAGCTGTTACTGGACAAAAAAGAGTCTTCCTTTTAGAGGCAAGTTCTCATAAGCATTATACTTCCTCTTCCAATTCCTTGCCAGGAAAATAACGTACTACAGAAATCCGGTATAGGATACAGTTTCCAGAGCCAAATAAGATCCTGCAAAGACACCTGAAATTTTATCAACAAAAAAGATGCTTGTTCCCAGTGAAAGCCTGAGAACCAGTGGGCTCTTTGCATTGAGGATCAGTGAACTTTAAGATTAAATCTTTGGCTTTTTTTTAAAAAGTGGATGTAGCTATTCAGAAATTTCACAGAATACTTTCAAATACTAAAACATAAACATTTCTTCTCCGTCTGAAAGGGTGATTCACACAGGGGAATCTAACTTTGCAGATAACAATGCTAAAGTTTCTTTTTCTCTCTCCTTTTTGATTACATCCATGTATATTTGTGGTACAGTTAAGTTTGCACAGTTTCTACCATCCACAGTTCTATTACATTAGGATTGTGACTCTGCTTCACTGCAAGTAGCACCATGAACACAGAATACAATCAGGCAGCAATTTCTGAAACACAGAGAGACTACCCGAGTGTCACTGGCACTGTGCACTATGAGTTTTCTCCAAGACAGTTCTACCCAGAACTTTTAGCCTAGGAAAAGGATTAAAAACCAAGTGACTGCAGCACTTCCACCAGTGCATAAACTTCATTTCAGTATAAAACTGATCTCAATGTTTGGCAAGATTGATTGCTCTATGTTTAGTCAGTTTGATAAGAAACAAAATTAAAAGTTACACGGGAAACACATAAAAGCTTTTTGTGTCCTGAAAGCTGACAGAAGTGAACAAAAACACTGCTGACCCAGTGCTACATCAAAGCTTCAGTGGACAAAACTATACGTAAGCTTTATGAAGTGAGGTATTAACAAGCTGTAGTTTAAACCTCTGTGACAATGTATTGTGCTTACAGGAAGGAGGAAATGAGAAATTTTGTATAAATTCCAAACTTCAAACAATGGGATGTTTGCTACCGCAAAGCTACTAGGTCACAATAACAGATATCCCGCCTCCTTGTTATCTGTCATCCACATACAAATTAAGTGTGACTTTCTAGCTAAGTATCCCATCTCTAGCAGGAGAATGCCATAATCTGTGACCTTTGAAAGTGCTGCTGGAAGGCTATATGATTTCTAAAAGGTAGCAGCCAGGTAAGCCAGCATGTAGCCTCTAAAGAAAGAACAATGACATGTTTGCTGATTCTTTGCTACCTCAATCTTTTCACAACCTTTTTATTTCATTCCTGTTAAAAATATGAAGTGGCATTTATTTGAAAGACACTGATTTTATTGGGATAAGAGAGAACAGAGAGATTTTCAAATGACACCTGGCTTTCCCTGACTAACAAAAACAGTTAAAATGAGATACGCTGGGTTCTAGTCACATACAGAAAAATTGGTCAAGCTTCCATAGCAGGGCAAACAAGAAGCTGCATATTTCATGAAAGAATCAGAGCTGAAGGTATGGCGCTGGTGATTTCTAAAAAGATTCTGAAGTCTAATAAAGGTAGGTATTTTTATGGATTTCTGATGGATTTAAACTCTTGCTATTGCTTTTAGTTAATGGGGTTTTAAATTCAAGGAGAACATTTTTACAAAGGAATATATTAATGGCAGGAATTTAAGACACTGTCATCCCCACCTGCTCTGCCCTTTCTCATTGCTAGAGGTTATGGAGAAGAAAATATATGCCTAAATCGTTGCAATTCACAATCCATCTCAAACCCATATCCAGCACTGGTGAAAGCTAAGATGCAAGATTATCAACTGAAGATGCTGAACTGCAGACACATACTACATTCTGCCAAGCCTTTTATTGGAGCAGCAGTTTCTAACAGAGAATCTTGGCAGGCAGTTTGGGAACAGATCTTACACAGGGGCATGCACGGAATTCAGCCTTGCATTTTAGGTTCAAGCAAGGTCAGAAGCTCCCTGCGTATTTATGTCTTACTGAAACCATCTGGCTTTGCCTAATTTTTGGCTGAAGCTATTGTAAGCATTTGGCTTTGGAATTGATGTCTTCCAGATCCAGGCTTTGGTCTAGAATATGTCTTGAAACCTAAAGATCCAAAGAGCTTCTATTTTGGAGAAGGGAAGGCTTATTTGCATCATTTCAACTGCATGCAACCAGCATGTGCTCATAAGGCCTGAGTTTTAAATAACATAATGAATCCATAGATCCTGTGAATTTTCTCCATGTTGGAAAAGGCATTCGGTAGGAAATTCTGGCTAAGTACAAGAGGTATTAAGCTCAGCAGCAGGAAAGTATTTAAACAGATTTCCTGATTGCCAGAACTGATTTCTAACGGTTTGTTCCAAACCACTGAATGCAATGCAGATTTCTCATGCCTCTTTCCACTGGGATATATTTATTTTTCCATAGTACATTGTTGGTTGCAATAGGATTCTTAGAATTTCCTGTCTCGCCACTGCAGTTGCTTCCAAGTGACCAATTCATTTTTCCAGACTTAGCAGCATAAAGGCTGGCTCTGCATTTTGTTCACTGGATTTCCACTTTCCTGATAAGAAATTAAGAATAGTTATCTTGCAATAAGCCACTATGAGTTCAATTCAGCGCACACCAAGATCAGTGCAAACCCTATCACCAGCTTCTGCGAGGTGTGGACCTGACACAGAGCAAAGGCAGAGTTCACTGAAGGAACAAGAACGTACGCTGTCTTCCACAAGAAGTGTCCTGAGAAAATGTAAGGAAATCTGTGGACTGGAGTTGGCTCTAGTCTCCTCAGCAACATGAACAGAACTGTGCTACCCCAAGAACTGGGATTAATGTTGAGGGAAAGCGTGGAGCTGAGGTAAAGGATCAGTATGGAGATGCTTAGACTTCCTGCCCCTACTGCCTCCTGGGAGGATGAAAGGTGTGATGGAAGTAAATCATCCACCTAAAAGAGCCACACATCCTGACCCCTCCCTCAGGAAGAGCATCAGCTGCCAGCCTAGTCTGTTGGGATTCCAGTACAGGCAAAGTAGGCAGCAAGGCCACAGTCATTTTATCATTCTTGGCAGTCTGTTGATTTAGACAATTGCCTGTTTTGCTTCAGACTCGGACTGTCTCGGTTCTTTCTAAACAAAACGCAACAGCTCTGGGACTCAGCTGGATATTTGTCACTCCCAATATACTTTGACCTTTTCACAGAGCAGTGACAGAAAGCAGTATTTTAAGGAAATTAGTCCATCCTGATTGGTCTAAAGGACTTTTAGACAAAGGTGTTATTGACCTGACTGGTACTAATTGTGACCACTCTCCAATATACTAAAGTAACAGCCTATTGCTCTAGAAAAGGTTTTAAATCAATACCTGGGTGAACTTCCTGAACACCAGATCTTTTTTCTCTGAATTAAACCAACCTTTCAGTAACAAAGCAAGGACAACTTCATTTCTTTGAGTTGCCTCCAGAGGCAATGCTAGTGATCAGCATCCTCCTTAAACATCTCATTATATCAGAGGAAATTTAGCGTCCAACTAAAGAGACTGATGTTTTCTATCTACAGTATTATTTGACTTTCAATCAAATACACCTGATTAATTTCACAAATTACCTGCCTTTCCTACTGTTAACAGGTTAACTATAGTTAACCACATGCAGGTCTTCTGGAATTGGAAATATGTATTTGGCAGTTTGTTTCCATCTATCTCTACCTTTGATGTAATACCTCTTTAGGGATGGTACTCAGAATAAGGAAAGCAGCACAGCAAATAGGATGGGAAGTTTTCCCATAGTGTGATGGGGCCCCTAAAATGATAGTGTGAGATAACACAGCCAATACCAGGAAAATAAAAAGAAAAAGAATAATGGCAGATGCTCAGCACATCGCCAAAGGCCTGGGGCTTGGGAAAGGTCAGGGAATTATCTGCACTATGCATTCATGATTTGCAGTAAGAACAAGCAATAGCTGCAGAACTCAAAATACAAGAGAAGCTGGTTATTGACATGGCATCTGCCTTACTGGGAACAGCAGTGAGAGCCAGCAGAAAAATGAAGAGGAAAAATATTTTAGCTCAGTCACAAATTGCATCAAACATAACAACTATTGACAGCTCTTCCACTTCCTCTCTAGTGGACACAATTTCTGGGATGTACAGCCGACTCCTTGAAAAGACAAAATTGCTTACAAAGCGCTCAATTAATTCTAATTAAGCAAACCCAAACCACAATAGTTAACTACAAACAAATAATAATTATATTACATAATATAAAAATATTACATAAGTCTTAGGTAGTAAATCTGTCAAACTGTGTAGCTGACACCAATTCCCAAATGAATGTCATTTCCCCAGAGTACATGTTTCTCTGAACCATTAACTTCCTGAAGTAGATTGTACTCTTGGGTATTTGCTCAAAAATCTCAAAGAATATTCAAACATAGTGAGGATCATAATGGTAAACCAACTTCTGCACCCACTAGTAATGTTCAAAATCTTTCACAATTGGTCTTTAATTTACTTATATTAATATATATTAAAGTGCTTAAGAAGATCAATCTATTTCCTAGGGATCCTCCACTGCATTTATACTTTACCACCTTGCAATCACATACCCTATCAAAAATCAAAGTAAGAGTTACATTTAAATAGACTGTAATGTAGCTCTCCAAAGCAACTGCTTAGCTATGTGATGCACTGCTTATCTATTTGAAACACTTTT